TTTTATATATACTTTCTATAGAGAAACAATTTTACAAATTATAAACGTTTCCATAGAGTTTTTATATATATTTTATATATATTTTCTATAGACTATTAAAAGTTACAGTTTTTAAAATGACTGTTTAGAATATTATACTGTTCTACAGAATATACTATAAATAAATAAATTTATATTGAAATTTCATATATGTTATACTCTATATAGATTTTATTTGTTTTTATAGAGATAATCCCTATAAAATTGTTATAATACATTTAACAAAAAATACAGGTAAGGTCTATAATTTTTTATAAAATAAATATAGAAATTTTATAGTTTTATTATAGAGAACTTGTCATATCATTTGTATAGAATATTCTATAGAATTTCTATAGAATATGCAAGATGTAAAACATGTTGGTAGGACTATACTGGTCAGACACGAATGTGTGAATAAAATATTGAATGAAACAAAAAAAATTAAAAACATAGAAATTACATTAAATATATGTATATAGTATGTTATAGAATTCTATAAAAACTAGTTCCTCTATAAAACAATTTTATAGAAAATATTAATTTCTGTAGAAATTGATTAGTCTCTATAGAAGGTCTATAAAGTTCTATAGAATTTTTATGTATGGGATGGATGTCTACAAAACGAAGACCGAAGACCTGAAAAACGAAGATCCCTATATTTTCTCTTTTGTCTTGATGATAATACACCTGGTTGTCACAAAATCACAATTACGAGGTTATTTGAACTTTAGTTTGTGAAATTATCAAAGGTCTTCGTTTTATAGACACCCATATGCGGCTCTTTGCAACGTGAGCGACTGTGTCCGATTTTGATAGAACGACGCACAATTCACGTGGTCTCAGGATTTAGCCTAGGCCTATGAACCTCGAAGCCTATTTGAATCAGTGCAAAAATGAAACAGGTGATTGATCTTAATATATTTCCTCCATGATTTGATACATTAAAGTGATACATTTAGGCCTACTGTCAGTCTGCAAATACAATAGGTCTACTAAATAGTTATTCAATTGATTAAAATTCCAAGCTAAGAAACTTCGATCGATGCTGCGAAACTGGCAAATATTATGCATATGCCCATACAGCTTAAATTGGTCGAACTTTTTATCTTGATCTGTACCTTCGCTACACTGATGATGCCTGTAAGGCCGAATATAGTAATACATTATAAATTTAATTCAATTTTATTGGCGAAACTTATAAAAATGGCTTGAAATTCGCCTTGCTTGTCACAGATTACAATATCAATATTTAAAAGGGTACAAGATACACATTCAACAGGTCAGACGAAAAATTATTCAAAAAGGATGGATAAAATTGTACATAAAAGTACAGAATAAAATTGGAATACCAAGAGCAATTGCCATTAAAAAGTACAGTACACTGTAATACCGTACTAAAATAAGTTAAAATGTTACCATGACTAAAAAACGTATTCATTCATTCTATTTATCCTTAACTCTATAATATGCAGAAGCATTCACCCGACAAAGTAAGATGAATAAAGACCTTTGATAATTTCACAAACTAAAGTTCAAATAACCTTGTAACTGTGATTTTGTGACAGCCAGGTGTATTATCATCAAAACAAAAGAGAAAAAATAGGGGTCTTCGTTTTTGGGTCTTCGGTCTTCGTTTTATAGACACCCATATAGGGTGTCTATAAAACAAAGACCCTTAAGTATTTCTTGATATTCCTAATTTTATTCCGATGAAATAATGAAATACGTACTTGGCAACGGTTTTATGATGATTTTGAAATACTTACAATAAGATAATTGCGATATAATTGAAGGTCTTCGTTTTTCAGGTCTTCGGTCTTCGTTTTGTAGACACCCATATAGGGTGTTTATAAAACGAAGACCCTTGCATATTTCAAAAACAGACGCCCAAAAAATTTCGTAATTTTGATTTTGTGACAGCCAGGTTCATTATCATCAAAATAAAATAGAAAAAATAGGGGTCTTCGTTTTTGGGTCTTCGGTCTTCGTTTTATAGACACCCTATTTCAGACACAGCCACAATATCAAGATTGTGAACAATTACAAAATCAACAACCTCATCACATTTATTTCGCAAAAAGCGTGCATTTAGTACACAAAGATGAAGTTGTGAACATAAATGGAAACCATGGTTGTTAAAGCAATTTCCTGCAGTGTTTACTTTTGACCTCTGTTGTGCAGTGGGTTGAGTAGTTGTCTGACGGTTCCGAGATACCTTTTTTCAGTTCTTGTCTTGATATCTTTCGGGATTTGACAGCCGACTCACCGGTAGCTTTTGTTTTACCATCTTTGGTTCGGTTGATACTGATTGGATAACGGAAAAGTTGATAACTCACCTGTGTGGTGAGTCTGCTGACGAGTGGTTTTACGACACCCTAATGTGTTTACGATGTTTCGAATAATGTTGTTAGCAAATGTACTGACTCCTCTTGAGTTCAGGGGCACCCCATCGGAAGCTAATTTTCCGGGGGTTACGTTATGGTTATCAATGTATCCCCAGTTATTTAGTTTAGAGATGGATTTCATCAGTTTATTTACATCATCCACTCTCTATGTCGTTCATTTATTATTATATTATAAAAGTTTAGTATTATATTATCAATACTCACTATTATTAATTATGTACATTCATCATTATTTTGTTTAATTCCCTATTATATTATCTCCTTCCTTATTCACTATTATTTCATTGCACTTCATTTGTATATGGCAGTTGAGTAGTATATTATGGCAGTTGGAGTAGTATAGTATGGCTGTTCATTATGTTGTTATACCAACTTTTTATATTTCCTGTATAGAGGATTGTGGGCTGGCTGTTAGTAGGGAAATTCCTGACCCTAGGTCAGACCACAGATAATTGTATCTAGTTAGGCAGTAACATTTTTCAACAATGGCAGTGTAGGGCACCTGTTGACCCACCAAAGATATTAGAGAAACACAAGTCCAGTGATTTTATGCTGTGCGACGAAATACCACCGTTTCCCGCGCTTCTATTGCAAGCCCCAGCTGTCTTAAGCCTACAAAAAATATTATATTATTTATGTTTGCTATTATATTATTTACGTTTGTTATTATATTATTTACGTTTATTAATATATTATGTAAATTTATTATTATATCATATATGTGTATTATTATATTATTTATGCCTATTAGTATTTAATTTATTATTATATTATTTATTTATTTAGTTGTGTATATTATATTATGTTTATTAATAATAAACGTGTATAATATAATAATAAACACATATAATATAATAATAAACATATATAATATACTAATAGGCATAAATAATATAATAATAGACATATGTAATATAATAATAAATTTAAATAATATAATAATAAACGTAAAAAATATAATAGCAAACATAAATAATATAATATTTTTTGTAGGCTTAAGACAACTGGGGCTTGCCATAGTATTTTAGCGCTCTAGTATTCTTATTAATCACTTTGGTATATATATAATCTTTGGACATATTATCAAAGATAATAAATACCAGTAGCAGAAGATAAAGCAGCTTCTCAATAAAGTGGAACATCAGTTCGAAAGGCATTGTGGGTACACAGAGAGAAATTTTACCCCACCCGCTCGGCGGCGCTATATAGTAATGATAAAGGCCGCTCTGGTTCGTTTGTTTCCTGTAGTTTCTCCACTTAGTAAAATATTTAAATTTTACCCCATTCGCGGGAGGTCGGATGTTCCATCAATTTTAATGCAAATACGCGGAACAGTCTTCTGCTATTTAAGTTCTTTGATAATATATAAACATTTCATATTTCAACTCATAGTTGTCAAAGTTAGCAGATATCTGAGTCATATTACATAGCGCAGTCCTCGGAACTCAGTAGATTAGAACTTTTTACCGAAGAGTAAAAAACTGCAAGAGGTCCGACTTCCCCGATTTGGATTTCCCGCACGATTAAAATTCGTAACGGTACTGGGTTTGGTCTACAGGAGTTCGTGCTTCGAACGGGTCATTCCATTATCCTTTGATAGCAAACTTTTAAGGCTTTCTGCTCCATTTATCTCTACCATATTGTACAATAATATAAATTGTTCCCTTTCAAACAGTATTATCTCTAGTGATTTGAAAATTGGACGTACTAGTCCTAGAGTATTTATAAAAGGACAGGGGATAAAAATAAAATGAACAATTATATGCCTATCTCTGTCATATGCCATATCGCTAAAATTGTAGAGAAAGAAGTTCAGCGACAATTACTTGTAACTAAGTATGATCAAATTAAAATCGACCAATTTACATTCCTTAAGAACCACTCCACCGTCCACTGCTTACACAGTCTCGTGGAAAATTGGTTAGAAATTTTAAATGATGCAGAAAAGGTTGGCGCGATTTTATTGACATTTCTAAGTGTTTCGATACTATTAATCACGAGGTATGAGTATTTAAACTAAGAAAGTATGGCTTCCAAAAAAGGGAAATAAACTGGTTTAAAAGCTATTTATATGAGAGAACACAAATTGTCTTTTGTTTTTTTATTATTTATTCCCCTCATTATTATAACATAAAAACAAAAAAATCAAGTACATAAATACACAAAAATGAGAGCAAGAGGATAACCCTATAAGCTCTATGAGCTTGTTTCCATAGTCTATTGTATTAACAAAAAAAATCTAAACCATTTGCCAAACACACGGGCTTACCTCAGGGAGCATAGTAGGTCCCATACTTTTTCTACTTTTTATAAATGATATTTCCCAGTCTATAAAGCTTGGTACATGTAGTATTTTTGCCGATAACGTTGTACTCTATGTTTTTAGCACTGCCTAACACTGCCTATATAAAAGTTACAGTGCAATATGTTTTTAACAACGTTAGAACAAATCAATACAGTATCACCATTTTGTTTTGTGTTTAGGCGTCGAGCTGACATCAGTAATAATTATTCATAGCTTTGTGAATTTAGTGTTTTTTCACGACTATAAACAACTCCATCCCTTGGGCCTATTAGTACAGTTGTGTATAGAGCAGTTTAATCCACCAATCCATAGTGTAAGCATATAAAGTATTTCTATTCACAATATATACAAGATATTTGTGTAACGTTTTAAAAAAGTAATTAAACAATTATTCTTTTTAAAACAATGAAACAATTATAGGAAAAATTAATACTAATTAATACATCGTTGTGTGGCTGTTTTGTGATAATTTGAAATTGCAAACTAATATTAAATTAAACCATACATCAGGCCGATAAACCGAACAGTTCGGGAAAACCCACTTGCTTAACAGGTACCGTAGTAAATGTAGCCTCCTGTAAGCGCTACTAGTGTGTTAGAAGCGTGGGATGATGTGTGTAACTAGCCAAGCAATAGAAGGTGCTGTGGCCTAAAACTTTGAGTATAAGCCCTAAAAACTAATTAAACCATTTTCGAAAGTCCATGAGTTATAAACTCGTGTGAATACGCTACTTGTTTCTCTTTGGTCTTACAGTATGGATTCATGGATTATGTTCCATTTACCGATTTCTGAGACAATATCCAATCTTTGCATACTTCTAAACATCGCTGTTAATTCTTCAATATCAGTTGTTGGATTCCCTGATCTCTTAGCTTCCCATACATTCAACAGTTCATTTGTAGGACTGTTAATCAGACGCTGACGAAGTTGCTGTTCCCATTGGTGAATGCAGTCATCGTAGCCTAGACAATATGCTAGGTGTCTCCAGTCGTTTCCAAGGGGGTTATGTATATCTAACATTTTTCGAATACATTCGCGAAGAGGGTAGGGCAGTAGAAGAGTTCTTCGCACAAGTCTGTGTGACTCCGTGGTGTGGTCTTCAGCATACATCTCATTTATTCTTTGCTAACAAACCCCCAAAACAAGAGATTAAATTAAATATATTAAAAGAGATATGATCAACGATTATTGATTAAAAAAAATTATAATCTTGAAAACATCACACAACTGAATTTCACACATGTAATCAAATAATGTAGAATAATAATTGTATTTTTTACGACAAAAGAAATAATCTTTCATAGGGCGTATGTTCTTTTTTTTTAATTAGTGTCCAAAAATTAGTTTTTGAAAATACTTGGGAAAATCTCAACAAAATTATACATTTAGTCAACTACGCCATCAATAGTATTGTTTGACAAAAAGACAATACGTCTGTGGTTTAATTAATGACCAGCAAATCCAGAAGATTGATGACTTTGGAACTATTCAAAAAGATTTTGTGTAAGGCAAGTAGCATTTACCTGTTTTTTCACTAAGACATCAATTATTTTACCAAATAATTCCTCTCGTCCATCTTGAGAAACATGCATCTGACCTGTTAATTTTGTTACGGTATTCTCTTTCTCATGTTCAAGATGATACACACATGGAGTATGAGAATTCTCTATTATACATTTCTTTGCAAGTACCTAACAGAGAAAAACACGTTTTACCAAGTAAAGTGGAGTTGAATAAATTGGTGGTTAATATGTTTGCCTTTCAAACCCCAGGGCTCTGGGTTCAATTCCAATAACGGATTTTTTTTTTCTCACAACTAAAAACAATTCCACCCCATAAGTCTCATGATAAGACTTTAGTTTATGTAAAACATCTTGAGTATAATTTGTCTTGTGAATTGATTGCCACTTTGAAGAGTGATTTAAGCTCACTGTTTGGAATATCTTTGTCATTTGTGGTTGAATAAAAAACCCCAAATTATATAAATTAACTTTTGCGACCTCAAATGGTTTCAAGCATTAACGTTAAAAAAAAAGGATCAATATGGTACGCCATATTCTTAAGACGATAAGACGAGATTTCGCAGATACTTTTTTATATAAGTGCTATATGTGAAAGAATATTTAAAGGCTTGGATGTAACAATACTCAGTCACTATAATTATTCAAGGTTTCGAGGTTACGCTATTTTCAGGAACTACATGAAAAATATACACACAACAGTATAAAAATAAGACTTGCTTAAAATAAATAAGAGGGGGTTTAGATTTGCAGGTATGCCTATAGGTCTCTCTGTGGTCTAGTATGAAAATCGCCTTGATATATATAAGCATCCATCCCATCTCACCTGTTTAGTCTTTCCTCCATGTACTTTCCAACTTCCTTCGGAGTTTAGGAGAATATTTATACCACTAACACTTGCAAAAAGAAATGGGAAGGTAGGTGCACACAATGAACCTTTCAAGAGACGTTCATCTTCTAACACAATCTTGCAAAAAAGAAAAACAAATGGTAATAAGATCAAAAGTATACAGCTCTATTAAAAAAATAATTTGAGCAACAGGCAATCATTAGATTTATGCAAACAAAACAATCATACTATATAACATACATAGCAAAGCATAAACAGGTAGATAAAACATACAGATATAAAAATGCTGATAGGCCTATATAGACCTAATGTTTAAAGCAAACATGTAGATATATCATGCCAATATATCATTTTGTTTGAAATTAGCAAGTAGATAAAACATAAACACATATTTTTTTTTGCGTAAAAATGCTATAAAGTAAGTTATCGGGAATACGTCGTCTGTTTTGAATGTTACAGGTGCTACATTACTAAAAAAAAAAGTTACTGCTAAATCTAGCCCCATTCTTGCTACGATGAGAGATCGTAAACGTGTTTGGTTATAAAATGCGCATATTTCTGGCTATTATTATTATTATTATTATTATTATTATTATTATTATTATTATTATTATTATTATTATTATTATTATTATTATTATTATTATTATTTCTTTAGGCACACGACACATGTGCCAAGGATTTCCAATAGCGAATATATATCACTGTCCTAATTGTAGGTGACATTCCCTTACACAAGACAAACGTACACACACGATGCTTTACACAAACTAAATCTCAATATGAGATTTAGGGAGTGGAGTTGTTTATGTCGTGAGAAAAAAATCCTGCAGTTGGCAGGAATTGAACCCAGGACCCTGAGATTGGAAGGCAAGCATCTTAACCACCAAGGTATTCAACTCCACTCCACTCAATGTATGTAATACTTGATTTGACTGGTAAATGGTAATGTCGGGTTTGCATTCCATTAAACGGACACCTTGGTCATATTACCATTTGTCTTGATTTCAAAAACATGGGTATGCCCATGTATAGTAACACACATATGTAAAAACTGTGTTAAAAAGTTAATATATTGTCTATTAATTTTTTTGTAAATGCCAATAGCGCTCTATAAGCTCCGTGGAGTTCTAAGAGAGCATATAGAAATATGTTTACATAAAACAAACAACAAAACACAAAACTCACATATCGGGCATCTTTAGTCTGATTGGCGCAATATAGACGAAGTTGTAAATCGTAATCATCATCATTTATTTGTGAAGAAAACAACATTAAATTTAACCATTTTTCTTGTATGATAGGTACTGTTTCTTTTTTTTCTTCACATTGTACAACACTAGTGTGTCCAGTAAAATGAGACAGTAGTAGCGTCACCGTGTTGCCTTTTATAAGGGTCAACGAATCATTGTGTTCTGATAAGTTGTGGAAACTTGGCGACTGATCGGGCTCAGTTTCGGTGCGCAGTGTTATCAAATTCGTGTTATTATTCTTAATATTTGCACAATGTTGATACGATAATAAAACTCTTTGGTCAAACACCATTCCAGATGGCCCACAAAACACCACTGGACTCGTCGCCATCATGTTTGGCGGTAACGGTAGAATTTCATTTTGTTCATGATGTAAATATATGTAAATTAGTTGAGGTGTCGACTGTTGGATGGCACCAGGTGGTATCAACAACACTACTCCAGCTTCATCAAAATGTAACTCTCCGCCATGTTTGTCAAAGATGCCGGCACGAAAAAATGGATAAGAAAGTGATTTCTGATCAAAATTCTCTAAACATGTTTGTTTACTCCATAATTCCGCCTTTGCAATACATCTCTTGTAATATGTTGTTGGTTTGTGGGTGATGTTATCTGAGCGTAATTCTTGTTCTTCGCTTTCAATAATACAAACATCGTAGACGTTTTCTGTAACGTCACCGTGTATTGTAGTGGTGCCAGTTCCTGTTTTCTGTGGCTCCCTGCCCTCACACCTCCTACTTGGTTGACGATTGGTTTGGTTTAAGCTTATGGCTCTACTACATTTGTTACGTTTTATGAATGCTACCACTGAAAGAAAATATGTTCATGTAAAAAGGGTCGTGTGATTTTCTGACATAGGCTTGTATAGTACATAGGGCCTACATACATAGCCTACGTGCATACTGTACATACATACTCTCTCTTCCACACACACACACACACACCCACACACGGATTTAGGACAGATTGACGAAACGCACTTTGCCGAATGCCAGTTTGCCGTCTAAAAGATCCCTGAATCCCAGTTTGCAAAAACCCATATTGCCAAAACCAAGTTTGCTGGAAGTGAAATAAAAAAACAAAAGAATATAAAAGGAGTGAAGCAATAACAACATAAAATCCAATATTTGGTGGGCACTCTTTTACCATGACTGGACCTGTACGAAGTCGTGGCCCCAGCGGAAAGTCAGAGCCGGCCAGAATAGCAACATTGAGAATTCAGAAGCCATTCCAAAGATATGATCACTGTGTATTAGTGTACATAGCTGCTTATTACAGTTTAATTATTCTTTTTGTCTAATTCTGTAAATCACACTTTATATTAACAATTCAGCCATCAGCAAAACATTATTAAATATAGGCCTATCAGAAAAAAATCATAAGCATATGTATCATAAATATGTAAAGTTTAATTAAAAAAATCATATGCACATGTATCATGTATCATAAATATGTAAAGTTTAATTAAGATAATAATATGTAGGTCTAGACCTAAAGGAAATCTCGGGGAGAGTTTTTAGGGCTTAACATGGATCAAATTGTGCTTTTAGACCACAATATTAGGGACTGGCAATCAAAATAACATCATTTGGATAGGCAAATTATTATTTGTGGTCCAAAGATCTCGACCTTGCGTCGCACGACGAGGTGGGTTGGGCTGATTATGATGCTTAATCCGTCATTTTATTACTTTGGTTCGAATTTCAACTGGTAGCCTTGCATTCAAGTGTGTTATAGAACAATCCTTTTGTAGCATTTTGCCTTTCAACATTTACATATAAACACGGCTCCTCCATGACTCACGCATCATGTTTTTCCAAAAATACAGTATGCTGTGCTGTTGTGCAACGGTGTCAGCAAGATGAAATTACATTATAGTGAAAAACAGGGCCCCTGTGACCATTTTTCGGGGATCAAGGTTTCTTTGTTGATTTGGCATCACTAGGGTATAAATAAAAAAATGAGCGTATAACTATATGTTATTAGGGTCACTGAATTCAATGAGACATGTTTCAAAAACCCAAAAGATCAGCCATTTAGAAATTCAAGATGGCCGCCAAAAACTATCGAAAAACGAAATAATTTGGTATATATTTCCTCTTCTCCTCTATCAAAAATGGTAAATTTGGTGTCTAATCATATGTTACTGTGCCCTCTGAGTTCAATAAACATGGTGTCAAAAGCTATGATGGCAGCCATTTTGAAATTCAAAATGGCCGCCATAAAAACCATTGAAACCATTTTGGTATGTAATTCCACTTCTCCAAAAAATTGGTGTCTAACCATATGTTATTGTGCACTCTGAGTCCAGAGAACATGATTTCAAGAAGCAAGGATGGCAGACATTTTAATATTTTAAGATGGCCACCACAAAAATCTTTGAAAATCAAATATTTAGTTTTTATAATTCCACTTAATCGAAAATTGTAACAAATTTGGTGTCTACTAATACGTTATTGTGCACTCTGAAGTCCAATAAAACATGGTTTTCAAAAATTAAGGATGACAGCCAATTTTAAATTCAAGATGGCCACCACAAAACTCGTTTAAAATCAAATATTTTATTTTTAGAATAGCACTTCTCTGATCTATTGGACACTCTGAGTCCATTAAATAACAAAATAATTATTTCAAAAACCTTGGGTGACAGGCATACTAATTTCCAATACATCCGCCATTATTATGTACACATTTTGGCTTGTAAAATGCAAAATGTGACAATTTTCAGAAGTGAATAATACTATTTATACCATACAATAAAAATGTCTACGCTAGATAAACAAAGAAACACAACTTACGTAAACTTACTGGAATAATTCAAAATGGTTAACACAATACGTTAATACTGTTACAGTACTTCATTATTCTTGTCATCAGAAGGTGAATGCTCACTTTTTTGTCATCATTCTACTGTCGCTATCAATTGGTTCTGCAAGTTTAATGCCGCTTGGCAGGTTTGTTCCAGTGTTTCTCTGCATAAACCTTTCCATTAACCAGTTTCCACTCGCTGTATATCGGTGAATAATGAGCTCAAATTTTAAGACAAAACTAAGTTTTTCTATGGTTCAGCTTGTAAGAGCAATAGAATCTCAATAGGATTTCAGCAGATTGTTTTGCCTCTTTTCTTTCCTGAGCCAACAATTGTACATTTTAGAAGAATCGATCAAATATGAAAAGAGAGCAGAGGATAGGCAGAGAAAAAATGGCTGCCATCCTAGCTTTTTGAAACCATGTTTAGTGAAATCAGAGGGCACAATAACATATGATTAGACACCAAATTTATATTTTTTTATTGGGGAGAAGTGGAATAACATATTAAAATTTTCGATTTTAACAGTTTTTGTGGCGGGCATCTTGAATATCTAAATGGCTGCCATCCTAGCTTTTTAAAACCATGTTTATTGAACTCAGAGAGGGGCACAATAACATATGATTAGACACCAAATTTGCCATGTTTGATTGAGGAGAAGTGGAATTACAAACCAAAATATTAGATGTTCGACAGTTTTTGTGGCGGTCATTTTTAATTTCAAAATGTCTGCCATCTTAGATTTTGAAACCAAGTTTATTGAACTCTGAAAGCAAAATAACATATGCTTTAGACACCAAAATTTACCATTTTTTATTGAGAAAAATTGGAATTACATACAGTACCAAAAATATTTCGATTTTCGACAGTATTTGTGGTGGCCATCTTGGATTTCAAAATGGCTGCCATCCCAGCTTTTGGAACTGTGTTTATTGGACTCATAGAGCATAACAACATGATTAGAGCCAAATTTGCCATTTTTCATAGAGGAGATGTGGAATTATACTGAAATATTTGATTTTTTGAAAATTTTGATCTTGAATTTCAAAATGGCTGCCATCCTAGATTTTTGAAACATGTCTCATTGAATTCAGTGATCCTAATAACATATAGTTAGACAACGGGTTTACCCTTTTCATCGAGTAGGAGTAAAGTTATGAGACATTATCTTAATTTTGGCGGCCATTTTATAAATGGCCGCCAAAAACATGTTCCGCCCTTTTTCTGGAGGCTCACCTCCACCCCCCCCCCCGCTTATTTTTTTAATCTATACCCTAGTGATGTAAAATCAGCAGAGAAACCTTGGTCCCTGAAGAATGGTCACGGGGGCCCTGTTTTTCACACTACTAAATGGGTTTCGGCAAACTGTGGTTGTCATGATAATATAGTGAATTGGCAAAGTGGCCATAGACTAGACAAACCGGGTTTCAGAAAACTAGGTTTCGACCAACTGGTCGGATACACCCCGCCAGTCATATCGCCATTCATCGGGTTCACTGGTTTTAAAATCTGCTACTCATATAGATAATTATTTATAAGATTTCCTAGTCATAATTTAAAAATATACTATGACTAATCATAAAGCTATGTATTTCTAATGTTCACTAATCATAACACTGGAACATATCTGATACCTTTTGACTAGCTACTTTACTGTGCGTATTTTTCCTGTTCAGCTACCACCATTATATTTATATTTTGTATGAAATCATACATAATGAATTGTAATGAAGTAAAATATGTGTACGTGTGTCTATATTCAATGAAATAAATGGTGCTCCATAGCCACTAAAAGTGTGAAACAAGACCCACTGCCCTTTCTTTCATCAAGATTACAAATTGTGAATATATCATTGTCACTTTCACAAGACAAATCTTATGCTTATAAACTACTGTAACTTTTATTTTGAAGCTTAGAGAGTAGAGTTATTTGGTCATGGGAAAAAAATCCTGCAACACTTGTGATGTTGTATGAACCACGATAATAAAGATCACCGATAACAATGGTTGCAGTATGTGTCTTTATTCGCCATGTTTCTGCTCTCCTGTCTTATACACATGCGCACAACGTCTTACACTAAGCGTTGCCAAAGTGCACATTAAAAGTTATGCAATTTGTAGTTATAGGTACTACATCTCCCTTCTACTAGATTTAAGGTGTTAACTATTACAAAAAATGAATTATTGTTTCAACATTATTGAGACTACTGCCAACAAATATAACACAAAAGTTACTAAAACATTTTAAACTTCAACAGTAATGCACAGCATTACTCTTCGACTAGCCTTTGGGGGCGTCTTGCTTGCCTGCAAGATTTACGTCTTCGTTGCCGGGCTGGGACTTGTCCCTCTATAATAATATCACCATTACGATCTTCACTAGGGTTTATGTGTGCCCTATTTGGGAGCCTAACTCTTTTAAGGTGACCAGTTCCTTGTAATTTTGTGACCATCTGGGTGTTAAGCTGTAGTTCCTATTTACAACAACTAAAGGAGTTTTGGAGAAGGGTGTGGAGAACTTATCCCTCTTTTCTTGCTTCACCAAAACTACATCCCCTATGTCGAGATTAAATGTTTGTATGCAACGCCGTTTCTCGGCATTAAGCTTCATCTTAACTTTGTTTTGATTTGATTATCTTTTTGTCTTATTGGCTCATCACCTTCCTCCCTTCTAGAGAATGGAAACCTAATGTTAAGATCCATGCCGAAAAGGTGAGATGTCTGTTGTAGAGTGTGGGGTTGCCCGATAATTTCTTAAAAAGGCATACATATCCTGTTTCCAGTGGTCAGAAGTATATAACCTTTTTGAACGTACGCATAAAACGCTCAACTTCACCATTGGCCTGGGGCCAAAACAGTGTGACTTTCCTGTGATGAAAACCAAGATATTTAGAAAATTTATGAAATGCTTCACTGTTAAAGGGAGGGCCGTTATCTGAGCGGACAACCTTAGGAATCCCAAGCATGCTGAACATTTTGTCAAGTTCTGGGATTACAGCATTTGCTGAAGTTCGTTTTAAGAATACGAAATGACGTAATTTTGAAGTTTTAGTTCAAACTACGACTAAAGTTCGTTTTAAGAATACCGGGGTTAGAGCCAGATATATTAGAATTTTTCGGTTTTCTAAGATGGCCGACAGTGGCCATCTTGGATATATAGATCAGTATGATTTTTCTCTACAATAACCATTCCAGTGTACTGGTAATGCCAAATTTAGGAGGAAATGAAAAGAATGAGAGTGGGTAGCCTTCAGAAAAAGGCGGAACATTTTTTTGGCGGCCATTTTTGAAATGGCAGCCAAAATTAAGATAATGGCTCATAACTTTACTCCTAATAGATGAAAAGGGTAAACCTGGTGTCTAACTATATAACACAAAAAGTTACAAATGCCAAATATAGGGAGAAATGGAATTTCATTTGTCCTTCTAGCTCATCTAGTTCTAGATATATTACTATATATTATATATATTTACTAGTTGGCAAACACCAGCCACTTTGGATTCAATGTTTAGGAGGACCTCAAAACTCCACGACAGCTTACTGGTAAAGGAAAATTCAAAGGAAACAACATCATTGCTTCATTTTCATTGGTCTTTTGGTATTTTTTTTCATTGGCGCATAGAGACTGCTGTATTATGCACCTTATAAATCCATCGATTGATCGATTTATTGATTGATTGATTGATATTTGTCCTTCTAGCTTATGTAGAGCCTGTGATAATACATTTTTGTGGTTTTTCAAGATGGCTCACAGCAGACATCTTATGAAAATATTTATACAAAAAGTTACTATTTTCTTATTTCTTCTTTTGACGCTTCTCAAGTTTTCTCTTGTTTTCTTCCTTCCTTTTAAAATCAACCTTCTGGGATATTTTGTATACTGTCTTCCGCCACTCAGATATACTTTGTACTTTACTTTTCATTGGACTTAGAATTTATCCCTGTGTAGGATATGTTTACAATTGTTCTTATACCCTCCTTGAACCCTTAGAAAACTCACCATACAGAAGTGCCTTGACAGATCTTCCATCTGGCATATGATAAACATGTACCATCCAGCGTAATTTGCTGCTAATTAGATCGTTCATCACGTCTTCTCTATTGGCTAGTTCCAAAACTCTGTCATTGACGAAAAAATTGAGGCTTTTTTCTGGAACCATTTATTTTTCCACTCTTTTCTAAGTGCCCTTTTTCACCACTTAGTTTCTTGTCTTTATGAAGCCTTTGGACACTATATTAACTAGTGAAGGAGAGGTAATACTTCATCTTGGTCATAAAACCAGTTTTTACCCCTTTTTTTATCTCTACCAAAGTCATGTTTGGCAGCACTTTGGAGAATGCTTTTGAATTCATCCCATGTCTCTAGGTGGTCTAAAAGCTTTTGATCTAAGAATTGTTCCAGTATTATTTTTCCTTCGTTTCCTCCTTGATTTAATCTTGATAGAAATATTTGCAAAAAAAAAAAAAAAAAAAATAGAAATATTTGCAAAAAAAAAGGAAATAGTTTATGGTCCGTGAAGCAGTCAGCGGTGCGGTTGATCTTAATGACTTTATATGCTGTCTTGATTTTCCATCAGCTAGCACGTGGTCGCTTGTGTCCTTGGGAAGGCACTTTATCTACGTTTGTCTCTCTCTACCGAGGAGTATAAATTGATACCCGGCGGTTTACTACTGGGAAAGAAAAAAAGACGGCGTGGAAAGGAACCGCTTACCCTACCACACAATAACGAGTCTTAGTACAATATGCTAACAACTCATTCCCCTACGTTCAATAATGAATCCAGGGAGTATCTGTACATTGATCACGTGGTCAATTTTATGCCAATACTTCGATCACATGTGTTTTCAGGTGTACTTGAGGCAGTTCTTTAGCTGAAACATAACTAAGATGAAAACAGGCGCAAAATTCGAAGAGCATTGAACCATTAGAGGTAATCATGCCTACTTTATGTTTATTTATGACTGATAAGCATTTCCAGCTTTTTTTCCTACACGTGCATTGAAATCTCTAAGCACTAAAATGCTGTCGCCTTTGGCCTTGGCAGCACAATAACTGAATTGTTGGTAAAAGATCTCCTTATCTTCTGCCGATCTTAGATCTTAGCATGGCAGGAGCATAAACTCAAATGAGATTTGGAAGAGCGAGTAAACGTGTTGACCTCTTTCTTTGCGCGTAATAATTGCACCGCCAGGTTTGCATCCAGGTACTTAATTATCTGTCTGTATATTACGTAATAATGTTTACGCGTAATGATATTACTTGTCTTGGTATATATAGAAGTCTTCACTTGGTTGCTGGTTGTTGAACACTTCCATCGGTTTGGCAACGTAAAGTAAACTTAATTGAATGAGTTTACAGGTATGTTAATGGATTGTTATATTGATCATTGTATTTTGCTAATAGTAAATCTATACATTGCTATATCTCTAATGATGTTATGATGATAATATGATTTATTTATATTTGATTCGAGTATCAGTATTAAGTAGTATTGATCTAGTTTGCAACCGAGAAATGTTGTTGTTTGTAATGACATAGTGGATGATAGGTATCTGCATGCCGCAATGGTAGAGCTGTGTTTGAACGCCGTAGAGTGTATTATTGGACTCATTTTATATTTAAATATTATCGTTATCTTTACATTGTTAATCAATTATGATAGTTAATTCCTCTATTGAATACAGTGGACTATTACTATGTACCTATGCATTGATATTGTAATGGTTAGTTAATATCTTAATGATTAATTGATGTAACTTTGTCGTACAGTGATATTGATTGTTGATAACTGTTGTTGTTTTTGGCGTCATTATTTGTTGTCGAACTAAACTACCACAAGTGTAAAACTGCTATTAGAGCACAAATACCGATACCGGCGTGGTCTAGTAGGCCTACCTAGTTCCTACATATGATTGCACTCACACGCTCGGATAGTGTGGATGTGTCTCATTTGTACATTCGAGACAACTATATTAAGCATTTGTTTCTATCCTCTGCAGGCTGTGTTCTTATTGTTGCTTTCGTCATGGGTTACCCCGAATGCGGTAGCATTTCCATCGGATCCCCTGGAAGCGGTATTATTTTCATCGGTTCCATCGGATGCGGTGCATTTTCATAAGGTACATCAGATCCAATATTTTTATCGTATGGACTTTCCATCTCTGCCATAGAAAGAGACGCGCCGGTTACCGTACCTCGTACGCAGTAGCATTATTATAACCTTCTTGTTGACTTTTATCATAAAGTGTTAGGCTGTGCTACAGGTGTCCACACTGCAGTGTCCTCTCGGTCATCCTGAAGGTCAATGGCACAGCAAGGCTGGGACTATTGCAGAAAGGACTTTTTCGACACTGCTGACGAGTTGGTTAGCAGAGCCGCCTGGCTACCAGAACTGTTGTCATTTTGACTAACAGATCTGCTGGTTGTTAGAGCCGTTGCCGAGTTGACTGCGCAGGACCACCAATGACCAGTAACGGACCAACTGCATTCTCACTGTGACTTTTCTGACTCCAGGGGATCTTGATGACTAGTTGGGAGTAAGTGGTGGGCTATAGGTACTGTCACCCGGTATGAGCAGGGCACTATGTAGTGGGCCACTTTGCTACCTTCCAAACTTCCGACAACCACTTCTCAATAATAACTGGTATTTTAATAATGATAATATGACAATAATTATTATAATGATGT